GTGGATTTAAGAGTTGCTGATTTCGTCCTTCTGTGGCCGGTCCCGGAGGAACGAGTTTATATGAATAAAGGCACAGAGAGGCCCTGCAATTCATTCTCAAGGCGAAATATTCTTTCGACAGACTTGACTTAATAGTGCATCCCACCACTCCAAACAGTCACATGGTCCTGAACATCCTTGCAAACGTGACTGAATTCCTGTAAAATGCTGGTCAAAGCTTCGTGAGCATGCACCAACGACCTTTTGCACGCACATGGTCGTACCCGGCCCTGAAACACACAAGCACTCGAAGCACAACCCCCAAAACCCAAACTCGAAAACCCCTAAATCTTCCAGCACCAGGAGCCTGCCGCTGCCACACCCGTTCCTGTGGCAGAGGTGAAGCCGACCGAGAACGAGCCGAAGGCCGTGAAGGACCTCGGGTTGTTGAGGGAAGTTTTCTTTCTCGTTAATGGCTCCTTAAACTGGGGCTTGTAACTCTTTGTTTCTTGCTTTTAGGCCCAAATTTTACTGCGTGTTGGGTTTTAGAGGTTCTCGGCTTGGGATTCGTGGTTTTGTGTAGAGCTCCAGCATTTCAGAAGGCATCGACAAGACAAAAGACGAAAGTTTCAATAAAGAACAAGGGGCTTGCAACAACAGGGATCATTATGTAGTGTGATGAGGAAAGAAAGCAGGAAGGACGAGAAACAGAGCGTGCGTAATGCTCTCATTTCAAGAGGCATCGACAAGACAAAAGACAACAGTGCCAACAAAATGAAAACAAGGGCTTGCAAAAACAGGGACCATTGCGCCGTGCGATACGGAAAGAGGGGCTGGAAGGCAGGAAGTCAGGAAGGCAGGAAGGCAGGGATGCAGGGAGGCAGAAGACGAGAAGCAGAGCGTGCAGAACACTCTTATCCAATCCGCCAAAAACCCAAAACTCATCCTGCATTGTTGATCCGATGATCTCTTCGTGTTGATGGCTGGAGAACCTCTTGTTGTGAATCCTGCTTCATTGATCACTCCCCGTGTTTTGAAGGGCTCGGCTAGTTAGACCCTCCCAAGCCTAAGCTTTAACTCCCTTGAACCTTCGTGAATCCTGCCCCTGGCAAATTCTGAGACATCCGTAAATCGGAGCTCGGAGGAAGAGCCAAACCACGCCCGATACGCCTTCCCTGTCGAGGCCAGGCCAGTTAAGAATTTGCTTCGGGGCTGCCCGGTTGCTCAGAAGCTCGACGGAGGCTGATGAAGCCCACTAGAGTTCCCCTCAGGACCACGCGCCAGCACTCAAACTGGGGAGTCTCTGCAGTGTGTTTGGGGCTCTAAGGGATTCTGGGGTCGCGGCTCGGCGGCTTTCAAGGGCTGGGGTCCGAATGCCACACATCTTTTGAGTTTACTCTCAGCTTTGTCGAAAACGGGAACAGGTGGACGACGGTCGCAACCTCCAGATCTCATGGACTGCAGCCGACGATCGGGAGCAGGCATCGCTCTGGACCGCTCTGTTCAGTCGATTTGGCATCTCGAGATGTTCAGAGTGCTTGCAGCGCAGTGCAGTTTTACTCACCGTCAATAAGTCCTGGGCCGGTCCTGTGGCGCCATGCAGTCTGAGGAGGCTTCAGGGTCCAGGGCCACAAGGGTTTAGAGGCCTCTTTGTTTACGCTCCAACCGGCGGAGGTGGCCAGGGATTTCATTGCCCGCTATCACCTCCCGGGTGATCAGGCGGACTGGAAAGGAGTGTAGGACTAGGGGCTTTCGGCTTTCGAAGTCTGAGAACAATACCGTGAATGGCGGATTCGAGTCAGGACTTTCAGGAAACTCTGTCTGTAGGGTTACTCCTGGTGTCTTAACATCGTCCTATGCATTTTGACACAGCCTACGACACAATGACAAGGATCCCTCTGTAGCAGCCGTGATGACCTCTGAGATTTCTGCATACCACCTCTGCGCGTGCTTTCGAGTACGACCACTGATTGCACTTCAGACTCCAGCTTGTATCTCTACTATTGCCTACTAGCCACCGCCACAAGATGCTATGGGCATACTGCCTGTATCTGCCTGTGCAGCTACCCCATGTTACGGCTGCTCCTGGTCGTACTCTTTTCCTCCCCGCATACTCTAGAAGCTGTCCATGCGTCGCTCGCAAACACAATGGGTATACTACAGCCGTCGGGGCATTGGCAGTGAAAGCTTGGTCCTGAAAGCGTGCGATGCAGGCGAAGGACATCTTGGCCTTCATGCGGCATGCGGAGTGCCCCGGCCGAATCTCTGCATACCTGCAGTGCTATGCTCCTCGTCGATCGGGCTTCGTTGCCGTCGATCAGATCTCATCGTCGACCGACGCTCCACGACAGGGTTTAAACGTGGAAAGCCAAGCTGCCCATCTAAACCCGCCTCAGCCGGCAATCATTTTCTTTGGGGGGTCAGCTCATGTATAGACCAGGCACTCAGCAAGCAAGGACAACCGACCGTGTCCGGGTAGAGGTGAGAAGGACGGGGAGTGGGGAAGAGGGGGGGGGCAGCACAAAAGTGCCAAACAAAGCAATCAGCGCACAGGGCGTTGAGGAGGACATGGGAGGACCGAGGTGGGGTACTGGTGCTTTATGCTACAGACCTACGGCCCGAGGCGTCGGCAGGTCAGTCGTGTCCTCTCGCCTGGTATCCTTGGAACAATTGAGAAGTCGCGCATAGTTTCTACGGGGTCACGGTTACTTACCTTCCGCGTGCGAGGATTACGGCATAGCAAATGTGTGGATACGAGCAGTGGCCACATACCCAACACAATGTTGTCCCATGCTGAAGCCATGGCAACTTCAGAAACAGAAGTTTATCGAACTCGCAAGAAGACAAGCAGATCAGCTTCAGTGTGGGGCAGTGTGGGGTACAGTTCCCGCCCATGGTGCTACTTCGAAGTGGCTCCCTATAGACCTGAAGCCCGAGGTCACTCAGCTCAGCGAACTGCAGCACGGCCGCGTCGAGTTGGGAGCAAGCGCCAGGTGTCGAGGCGAGTTCGGGGAGGGATCGTACTTTGTGCTGTTGAGCGGTCTTATTGCTACACGAAAAAAAAAAGTTGTGTGCCGCAGCCTCGACAAGGCGATGTTCAGGTATGGGGTTATGGAGACCTAAGCTCTACGATCCTAACACCAGAACACTTTCCTCAGGCTTCGGGATTTTCAGGGCTCAGGGTCTAGGGTTGGAGTAGCGTCATGTAGAGACTACAACTTAGATCATAATGTAACTAATGCAGCTGTCCAGAGCCCGACTTGTGGGGTTTAGGTCTAGGGCTAGGGGCCCTCAACTTGGATTTGCTATCTCTGTACAACCTTTACGTAAAATCTTTTTAGCCTGAAGGCCTTAAATCCTACACCCTACAAACCCACCGACCCTAGGCCCAAGTCCCAGTACTTGCCTCGCCAGGCGCCCCCGACCTACGCTGAGCAGATTGCCCAACTTCAGGATCAGGGCTTCACGGTCGATGTGGAGGAGTTCAGCCAAGACTCAGCACCTAGTTTCGAGTTTAGGTAGGTTGAAGGTGATGGCCCTGCGTGCTTGCAACCCTTTCAATAGAACCTCGAGCCCTCAAACTGAGTTGCGCTTGGCAAAGCTACTTTGAATGGAAGAAGCCTTGCGCCTGCTTAAGCGTCGACTTCACCTAGATCGTCTGAGATGGTGGTGTGCCGTCACATCCAATGAGAGCACCGCCAGAAGCTGCGTGAAGCAGGGGGCATGTCGGCCAGTGTATAGGCACCTGAGAAGATTCTGCAAGCGGTGCGGGAAATCGTTTCCGGCGCATCCCCAAAGCCTCAAGCCCTGAGTCCAAAACTGCATCCACCACGGAGGAGCTGCGGAGCCTCCTGATCGCCTTCGGCGGTAGCGTGGAGAGGGTGGTGGAAGCGCTCGTCCAATGAAGGGTCTATGTGTCAGACTGTGTTAGGGCAGTTGTCTCAGTCGAAACGGAAGTTGCCCGGGTTGACAGAGATACCTTGTAGCAAGCATGGCCACTGAACAGGAGGCACTGCCGGCCAGCAGGTCACTGAATCCTTTGATGAATAGCAAGTACTCTGGCAAGCTGGCGTGGGGCTGGCAGTCGGCCTCACGGCCTTATGCTTCATTTTCACCGCGAGCAAAGTCTAGTTCGCGACGTATTTCTATGGGCCCTAATATGCGCGGTTGAGGGCTGGTTGACCAGCTTTCCAGCTGGAGACTTCGAATCAACAAGGGGCTCACTGAAGTATACGAACCGCAACGGCGCTGGCATTTGTGTTCACAGGCTGGCGCGAGAAAATGGGGACAATCTGAGTATCCCTCAAATCGAGATGCGTCTGGCAGCCTTCTACACCGGAACCTGGCATTGAGGGTTGAGGATCTCCCCATGGCAACCTTGAACCTGGGGATCTCGTGCAGGTCTTCGGCTGGCCGCATGCAGCTGGCCACATTGGTGCCATGGCCTCTGATTCTATACCCAATGCCCCAGACTCTTCTACCAAATAGTACCCTAACCGGAAAACAACCTCCTTTGCCTCAAGTCCCCACGCCATGCTGCTTTTAGGATCCAGGTTTCCCAGGTTTGGGGCTTAGTGGTGTGCACTTTCTCGAGTCCAGCTGGTTTATGCGCAGGGATGTGGATGGATGTGCTTCGAGCGCCCTTAGCCCTATCGTTCCTCTTTCAGGTCTTGGGTTTGTTTAGAACGTCTATGTAGTGTAGTGGGAGGGGGGGGGGCGGGGACGAGGGTTTTTTTGCATGACAGCCGATGAATGCTGCAGACGTTGGCACCGCTTCAGTTGCTGCAGCCATTAACCCTCAACCCTTCACTGAGGCTGCCACAAGATATGTTGATAATTTGGTAGTTTAGATAGATATATGAAATGCTCTGAAAGTCTCTGCATCATCTGTTGCTGCTACGGGGCATTGCCAGCATCATAAGTCTGTTGCCACGGTTGTATCTTGTTGCACCTAGCGCTTCTACGGCCATTGCCTTGCAGCCGCCCATAGTGTGACAGCAAAGGCTCCAAGCACAGGGAGGATGCTGGATCATCCGTGCCTGCCCTGCCTCGCAGGCGCCCTTTGTCTTATCGGCTGGCGTCAAGCAAAGGCTCGCCTAAAGAACGACAAGGCAGGAGTGAGCAGCCAGCCTCCAGCAAAAGCAGAGCAACCAGATCCCAAGCCGCCCAAGCAGCAACAGCAGCCAAAGGAGCAGGCGCAGGAGGCGCCGTCTAAGCCGTCCAAGCCTGCTTTTCAGTCGCGCTCGGAGGCTGAAGTCAAACAAAGTGTTGACACCTGGGACAAGCAACTACATTCCCGTGCGCACAGCTTCTATCGGGGTGAGGAACAGAATTTGTCTGCTGTGCTGGAAACCCTGGCACGCGCTACAGACAAGACGTCGGACCCCATCCTCAAGGACCAGTGCTGCCTTTGGCATGGAGAGGTCGGAGAGGTGAAGCACACCAAGCACGCCACCATCAAGATGGCGAAGCCGGGTGGCAGGGAGGCCTCCGTAACGTACGTCAGCCGGGTACTGATCTTCTTGTTTGCCAGTGATGAGGGCTTCGACAGGTGGATGAAACTGCCAAAGAAGCCATTCAAGATGCGGTGCGGCAACCAGCTGTGCGTGTCGCTTGCCTGTATCACGGAGGAATGCCACCCCTCATGATGGGTCCACCTCTTCTGAGCCCAATGGTAGTTGCGTAGCACTGTAGCAGCTGTCCGATGCCTTCGAAGCGAGTTGGCCATCCAGTGTCAAGTGTTCAGTTTGCCTGAAGCATGTGACCCTCCCCAAACTCCGCAAAACATCCCAAAGCTTGGGGCCGCCCCTGTGGCAGCCGATTTCAGCAGCAAAATTGGCAAACGTGAAGAGGACAACGCACCTCGCGTGATACAAAAGCCGACAGGGTCCGGGTGTGAAACTGGAAACTCCCGAGCCACCTCTCAGCTGGCCGAAAGCCTGAAGGTGATGAAGGCCCGACTTTCAATTTAGCCGGTTTCAGGTCATCTCCACTCTGAGATGGGGGAACCAAAGACCCCGGTAAAGCCGAAGGCCCACTTAGGCTTGGGAGGGTTTAGGTCTTCCAAGCCCATGGAAGCCTCGGAAACTTGTGAACCGGAAACATCGCAAGCCACAAGAAGTCTGGAAGCCACAGCCGCCATCAGCAAGAGACAGGTGTGCGGCTGCCTGAAGAAGCTGTCGCTCACAGTCGGCGAACTGAGCTTTGCGGCTGTTGGCTTTCAGGCTCGCTGAGAATTGCTGAGAACCTTGTGCCCTCACCTGGGCCGGTCCTGAACCCAAAGCCAACCGATAGAAACCCGCAAAACATGAGAAAACGTACAGGGTTGGGGCTGGGGGGGGGCTAGATGTGTGGGTCCCGCGTTTCCGACGTTGTGGTGCCCTCCTCGAATCCATACATCCCTACTGTACACTGTAGACCAGAATCTAAAGCAGATAAATGCCGCACGCATGCGCGCGCGCGCACACACACACACCCGCAATGTCGAGAGGCTGTTGTCGGCACCATCTGCAGCGGGGCTCTGGCTGCCGCAGTCATGGAGAGCAGAGTGCGCCGGGAGAGGGTTTGGGACCCCGCCGCATACTGTTGAGTGTTTTTTCGGCTCCCGCTCGTGATGAAGTGAAGTTTGAAGCGTGCAGGTGCAGAGTTTCAACAACGTAGGGCGGGGATGGTGGGGTTGAGCCGGGCTGAGTGCCTGCGATCTGGGTATTTTCAGGCTTCTAATGCCGCAGGCCTGTGAAGCCTGTGAAGAGAGTTTTCATGTGAGGAGAATTTGTTCAGGGCACTCTGAGTAACCCCAAGCCCAAGACTACAGTCTCAAAACCTGTTGATCGGTGCATGCAGCTTCGGACAGCAGACAGCTAGACCCAAAGCCCTGAAGGACAGTCAGCATTTGTTTGCTCTGCGCCGCTCCCTCCAGCTGCTGGACATACGTAGCATAGCATTGCTTGAAGCATGAGCCCTCTAAGCCTTGAAAGCCTGAAGTTCACTGAAGCCTACATACCGACACTGCCGAAATTGCCGACGCTGCACAGGCAGAAGCTGGTAGTTTTTACAGCTCAACGCACAAGCTACGGTGGCCTTTATATAACTTCATATTTCTGCCCTGCGTTGCAACCCTCACGTAAGCTCGCCAACCTCTGAAGGGTATGCAGCAATGGCAGCTGCAGATGTCCTGTCCTTCACAGACCCCACACCCTCGCATGCGTCTGACGCGCCGCAGGCCTGCGGCCAAAGGTTTTTGGGGCTTGAGGGCTTAAGAGATCCTGCATTCGGCTTCGCTGCAACAGCTCTCGTTTTGCCGGAAAAGGGTAATGCTGCCAGGAGTTTCCTTGTCCAGCTCTCACATTGTTGAGTGAAAGGCTTGCCCTTGAACTTGCAGTTGCCATCGCTACATACTACTCTGCACCATGCAAAAGTGTGTAGCCCGCATGCATATTTCGAGGTGCCTGTACGACGAGAGAATCTTTCGGGGACCGTTTTGTTCGCACATCTTCGCACGAGCAGACTTGGATATCTGCACGACTTCAGCAAGGAAGATGAAAGAAACGAATACAAGAGAATCTCCCTCAACAAAAGCTGATGGGCGGCGAGGTTGGGATTAATGGCCGAATCAGCAGACCATCGTGGGGCTTCGGTAAATGCCTAGTTTCTGAGAGGGCTTCAGGGTCGAAGAAGAACACGTTGAACGGTGAGGGGTCCATTAAGAGTTTGTAACTTTCCAGCACAGACACTGTAACATCTTGAAGTCGTAAAGCTGACTCTAGCGAAGGGACCCAGGAGCAATGTACTTGGGGCGAAGAGCGTGAACACAATCATCTTGTTGTATGATTGGGCTGTCACGGTCTTGTCCGCTTCTAGGGGTTTCGGGTTGTCACGGTCTCGTCCGCTTCTAGGGGTTTTGGGCTGTCACGGTCTCGTCCGCTTCTAGGTCGCGGTCTCGTCCGCGTCTAGGGGTTTTGGGCTGTCACGGTCTCGTCCGCTTCTAGGGGTTTTGGGCTGTCACGGTCTCGTCCGCTTGTGGGGGCCTGCGGCTTTCACAGTCTCGTCCGCTTCTAGGGGTTTTGGGCTGTCACGGTCTCGTCCGCTTCTAGGTCGCGGTCTCGTCCGCGTCTAGGGGTTTTGGGCTGTCACGGTCTCGTCCGCTTCTCGGGGTTTTGGGCTGTCACGGTCTCGTCCGCTTGTGGGGGCCTGCGGCTTTCACAGTCTCGTCCGCTTCTAGGGGTTTTGGGCTGTCACGGTCTCGTCCGCTTCTAGGTCGCGGTCTCGTCCGCGTCTAGGGGTTTTGGGCTGTCACGGTCTCGTCCGCTTCTAGGGGTTTTGGGCTGTCACGGTCTCGTCCGCTTGTGGGGGTCTGCGGCTTTCACAGTCTCGTCCGCTTCTAGGGGTTTTGGGTTGTCACGGTCTCGTCCGCTTCTAGGGGTTTTGGGCTGTCACGGTCTCGTCCGCTTCTAGGTCGCGGTCTCGTCCGCGTCTAGGGGTTTTGGGCTGTCACGGTCTCGTCCGCTTCCAGGGGTTTTGGGCTGTCACGGTCTCGTCCGCTTGTGGGGGCCTGCGGCTTTCACAGTCTCGTCCGCTTCTAGGGTTTTGGGCTGTCACGGTCTCGTCCGCTTCTAGGTCGCGGTCTCGTCCGCGTCTAGGGGTTTTGGGCTGTCACGGTCTCGTCCGCTTCTCGGGGTTTTGGGCTGTCACGGTCTCGTCCGCTTGTGGGGGCCTGCGGCTTTCACAGTCTCGTCCGCTTCTAGGGGTTTTGGGCTGTCACGGTCTCGTCCGCTTCTAGGTCGCGGTCTCGTCCGCGTCTAGGGGTTTTGGGCTGTCACGGTCTCGTCCGCTTCTAGGGGTTTTGGGCTGTCACGGTCTCGTCCGCTTGTGGGGGTCTGCGGCTTTCACAGTCTCGTCCGCTTCTAGGGGTTTTGGGCTGTCACGGTCTCGTCCGCTTCTAGGGGTTTTGGGCTGTCACGATCTCGTCCGCTTGTGGGGGCCTGCGGCTGTCACGGTCTCGTCCGCTTCTGGGGGTCTGCGGCGGTCACGGTCTCGTCCGCTTCTAGGGGGTTTGGGCTGTCACAGTCTCGTCCGCTTCCAGGGGTTTTGGGCTGTCACGGTCTCGTCCAGGCGTTTTGGGCTGTCGCGGTCTCGTCCGCTTCTAGGGGTTTTAAGCTGGCACGGTCTCGTGCGCTTCTAGGGGTGTTGGGCTGTCACAGTCTCGTCCGTTTCTAGGGTTTGGAGGGGTTTTGGGCTGTCTCGTCCGCTTCTAGGGGTTTTGGGCTGTCACGGTCTCGTCCGCTTCTGGGGGTTTTGGGCTGTCACGGTCTCGTCCGCTTCTAGGGTTTTGAGCTTTCACGGTCTCGTCCGCTTCTTTGGAGGGGTTTTGGGCTGTCACGGTCTCGTCCGCTTCTAGGGGTTTTGGGCTGTCACGGTCTCGTCCGCGTCTAGGGGTTTTGGGCTGTCACGGTCTCGTCCGCTTCTAGGGGTTTTGGGCTGTCACGGTCTCGTCCGCTTGTGGGGGCCTGCGGCTGTCACGGTCTCGTCCGCTTCTAGGGGTTTTGGCACGGTGTCGTCCGCTTCCGCTCGTCCAGGGGTTTTGGGCTGTCACGGTCTCGTCCGCTTCTAGGGGTTTTGGGCTGTCACGGTCTCCTTCGCGTCTAGGGGTTTTGGGCTGTCACGGTCTCGTCCGCTTCTAGGGGTTTTGGGCTGTCACGGTCTCGTCCGCTTGTGGGGGCCTGCGGCTGTCACGGCCTCGTCCGTTTCCAGGCGTTTTGGGCTGTCACGGTCTCGTCCAGGGGTTTTGGGCTGTCGCCCGCACGATCAAAACCCCCACCCCCCCACGGTCTCGTCCGCTTCTAGGGGTTTTGGGATTTTGGGCTGTCAGGGTTTCGTCTGCTTCTAGGGTTTTTGTGATGGCCGAATCTGCAGGCCATCGTGGGGCTTCGGTAAATGCCCAGTTTCTGAGAGGGCTTCAGGGTCGAAGAAGAACACGTTGACTTTCACATCGGTGGCGGGGATGTAGAATGATGTAGAGGTCTGAGTGAGCTCTATAAGCCCTGAGTGGGCTTTGAATGTCGACTCTTCCTGCAGGATTGGCCCAGCGCCCTCCCGGACAACGAGCGAGTGCTGGGAACGTCAACTGCAGATCAGGTGAGCGGCCAGAGAAAGAGTTGCTTGGGCGGGGTTCCTTGATCTCTTCTTCGGTTTGGGCGTTTCTGGGGTTTCGGTATACTGGGTTTAACAGGATCCCATGTAGGAATGTATCAGAGGGTTTGAGGTTTAAGGTTGAGGGTTTGATGGTTTCGAAGAAGGAGATCATGCCGTGTGGCAGGAACCCGTGTTTTCGGTTGTGGATGTCTTTTTGCCGAGGTTCTCGTTGGGGGGGCGGCCCCGCCCGAACAAGAGAGAGAGAGAGAGAGAGCCTCCGCACCCGCCAAAAAAAGGGTGCCCGCCCCGCACCTGGGTCTTTAGCCGTTTGGGGCTTCGGTTCAGGCCCTGATGTTCCTTGCCGCAAAAAGCACAGTTGCAAGAAGCCATTCAGGGTAAGAGTCCCACAGAACCTTAAGACCCTCAAACCCCCAAGCTCTGAAACGCTGTGCGCAGGTCCTTGAGCGCTGGCACGCGCTCCTGAGCGAGACCACAACTAAGCTCCGAGCCGCCAAGG